CATCAGCTATCGGAGAGCGTTATCAGCTAACATTAGCATGTTTGGTTAGCAAAATGTCAACAGAGCCTATATGGCACAGATACCAGTTAATCAGTTCTTACTAACATACTGATAAAAATCCCAGTATTTACCTCACCAAAGATGGAACATGGACTTCTTAGAACTGTTAACCACACAGTGAGCCATGCTATTTGTCTGATATTATTGCATTAAAATAGGCCAAAAGGCATTAACATAAACAGTAGCGGTGAAGCTAGCTAGCAACACAGCCACCTGTATCATCAGCTACCTGTCGCTCAAAGTGGCCACTAATATTAAAAATTACTACTAATTAAAAAGAATCACGTCTTCTCCTGTTGTTATAAAGTGGGTAAATTAGCCATACAGACTAAAAGCATTTTTTGCACCACGATGTAAACATATTTATTTCTGCTCAAAAGCTGGGCATTTTATTATGAGAATGATTTGTTCAAGTGGCCATTTGACATTTATCATTGCCTTTTTTAACCTCTTTATAATTACACAAGTCAAAGAAAATCCTTTATTTTTATTTCAATTGACTGTTAATATCAACCCAGCTTTATTTAAGGCCCTACAAGCTGTTTCATGGCTTTATTTAGTCTCCGTGTGGGAATAAGTGGTGCGCTTTGATTTGACCAAAATGAAAGATCCAGGTGACAGCATTACAAACAGCAGAGGAGACGTTTTATAAGAGAGAGGTGATAAACCCCGGCAACAGTGACACATTAGAGTTGCTAATAGCAGTAATGATGGCAACGCAGGGATGTGACACACTGAACAGATGGGAAAGGCAAAAAAGGAGGTGGGGCGGGTGGTGTGTGCGAAAAAGCTCTAGCTTTTGCATATATCCCTGGAGAAGTGGCCCGGGGAAAGGGTTGAGTGCACTCTCTTGCTGTTCTTCTCCATAAGGCTTAGTGGTGGAGGAGGAAAGCACGGAGCCCTTCCCCCAGTGGATTACTCCTCTGACACTACTAAGCCCCCATACTCCCACGTTCAGGAAGCCCACAAACACATGTATTCATCATGAAGACACTGAATGCACCAAATGCACAGACACACACAGCGGAGAACATCTTTCTACCCCGTTCCCTCCTCCCCCTACATCCTTTCTTTCCCTCCGTCTTTAGCCGTCCTCCTTTTCATGCCCAGAATAACAACACACACAAACAAACGCATCTGCCCATACGCAAGCACACCTACACATGCACACACACATACGCTTATATATGCATGCCCAGGCACACACAGCTGACACTGACTTGCTCTTGCACACTAGCTTGAGCACTTTCTGTCACACACTCGCATTCAGGTATTCAGAAAGCCAAGGAGCTGGGAGAATATGCCGTGCCGCCTCCGTTTGACACAAGCAGCTTTTGCCGTTATGTAAGGCTGGTTAGCGTAATGATAAGCTCTGCTGAAGGAAACAGTGCAGGCCGTTGTGTGTCATGGTATGTCTGTGAGCATGTCTGTGTGTGTATATGTGTGTGTGTGTGAGCATGTGTGTGCTTGCTGCACTGAACATGTTTGAGAGTGCTTAACTGTTCATTTGCATTTTCATGCACTGTACCTGCATGCTTCATAGCCAGTGGAAACGTTAGTGATCACAGGAGTAGGTTTCATTGGTAAATGGAAGGAGACACATTAGTTGTGGGATCTCAGGGTCTTCCCCCAGGAAATTTTGAGCTCCACACACTTCGTTTCTTGCATTCTGATGGATTTTTTCACCCCTTTGCATTTTTTCTGCATCAGTTACTGGTAGACTTTTCTTGAATGGGAAATAGCAAAAGTCAGACCCCCAAGGTAACAGTCCAAGTATGCTTTTTTTTCTTATTTAATATGATCCATGTTGCATCAACACACACACTGAGATCTTGAAGTCATGTGATGGCTAACCATGTGACGTTAACTTGTATGTCATTTTGGACATGTGACAATTATGGTATGCACTGGAGCGAGGTACACACAAGAGAGAAGAGGAATGAAAGTCGATGAAAGCAAGAGAAAATACACGTGTGTGAATGAGAGGGAGACACATGGAAATATGAGTATGCAAGGAGCAGAGCTAGTGAAGGTGGAAGAATTTAAATGCCTTGGGTCAATGACCCAAAGCCACAGACAGTGTGCTAGAGAGGTGAAGAAGAAGAAAAAGAAGAAGAAGGGCATCTTTGAGACTAGTGTTGGGGTGATTTGTGACACAAGGATAGCAGCAAGAGTGAAAGGGAAGGTTTACAAGGTGGTAGTGAGACCTGCTGTGATGTATGATTTGGAGATGGTGGGACAGACAAAAAAAACAGGAGGTGGAGCTGGAGGTGGCAGAATTGAAGATGCTAAGATGTTCATTGGGAGTGATCAGGATGAACTAAATTAGCAATGAGTACATCAGAGGGACTGCTTGAAGCAGTTTGGAGACAAAGTTTGAGAGGCAAGGCTGAGATGGTTTGGACATGTGCAGAGAAGTGATAGAGAATGTATTGGACAAAGTTGTTGAGTGTTGATGGTGGCGCTTCTAGGGAGGAGGAAAAGAAAAAGACCTCAGTGGAAGTTCATGGATGTTGTGAAGGTGGACATGCAGAGGATTGGTATGACAGAGGAGGATGATAAACATAGGGTCAGATGGAGGCAGATAATTGGCTTTGACAGATTATCTCATCCATCTAAAGAGAGCATCAAATAGATGAAGAAGGCAGTCAAGGTGACAAGTGGGTTTAGTGACTAATGTCCTAATCACAAAGCCCTAGAGACCATCTGTCCATGACCACCCAGCACTGTTTATGAGAAGAAAATGTGTATTCCTCGACAGGTTGGCAAGTGGTTGCTGGAGGTTCATGGGAGTCACTAAAACCCCAGTCAAACAGACATGGAGGCTGGTAGTTGACCTCCTGGCAACCACCATCAAAACAGAAAGATGTGCATTTCTAAGCAGTTGGTAAAAACTACTTTGTAGATGCTTTAATCACTAATGATTGCTATGGTTGACCATAGTTTCCATGCAAACTTTCCTACAAACACTCACCAGCTACTCTGCGAGTGGTAATTAAACTGTGCAAAGTGAGGCAGAAACCAGAAAAGGACACGTTTGCCTTTTTTCCTTCAAAATAAAATGGTTGCAGTGCTGAGGCAACCAATTTGAGACTTGCAAATGAATGGTCTCCATTTCCAAGCAACCAAAAGGAAGGTTTTGGTGCAACATCCTCCTTGGGACCATTTTCACCCTGTGAGAGCCAGCAACCTCCAGCTACCCTTCATGGAAAAGACATTTTTCCTCTCGTGACTGGTGGTTGTATCAAATCCAATCTGGTTGAAAACTCTTGAGCTGTGTGCACATTACGGCATGTCAGAACCCTATATCGACATTTGTGTTTGTGTTTGCCTGGATCATCGTGTTCTGAACTCCTAATACCTGTTCAAAAATTTTAAAGACCTCTTGCTGCAGAAGAAAAACATTTCCTGCTGAGTAGTATTGTAGCACAGTGTTTAGCTTGCTCCCATGTAATGTGAATGATGGGATAAATGTTTTGCTCATTCAAATGCTTCATACTGTTTAACGTCCAGCCTAAGAAAGAACATAATATTCAACAAAGTGGATCACATGACAAAACAGTTTGAGAATACATAACAAATATATAATATAGTGAGATTTAACATTACCTGTGGTCAAAATGTGAGATTAGTATAAAAGTGAAGACACATTTTTAAGCGCATTCACTTTAAGGTAGACGCAGGTGCTTTCTGTAATTTCACAAGCAAATCAGAGCGTGTGTGCCATCATGCATGCAGCAGAAATAAAAGGACAGGAAGAGGCTGATTGCTTGCTCAGTGGTTTCATTAAAAATAAATAAATAAAGAGAGGGAGAGAAATAGAAGCTGCATGTACCATTTTCAAAATGGTACATTGGTTGTCAAAGACCGTGAGGTACACAATGTACACACACTCTAGTTTTTCCAAGAAGTGCCACAGCAGCAGCATCCTCAGTTCTCACACAGAGATGAGATGAAAAATCATCACGCTGTGAAAAAAAAAAGCTTCTTAAGCTTTTGGTCAGGAGGTTTCACGCCATCCGTTCAGCGCCAGTATTTATCTTCACAGATAAACAGTCATGCAACCAAAGGTAATTTAAAACTGAAAAAAGCAGTGAAACTGCCCTCCACTCTCCTCATCTCTCACGCTGAGCTCCAGTCTCTGCTAATTACTGCCTCCATAATGCTCCTACATGCTCTTGTGCCAGCGTGTGTTTACTTTTGTACTCTTGGAGACAAAAAACTGTAACGCTGAAGACTCAGGTGTTTGTTTCTGTGCCAGCCGCACACTACTGACACACTCTGATAATGAAGAGAGAGTAAAAAAAAAGAAAGAAAGACAGGTGAAATGTAATCAAATTTTTGTGGAAAGCTTCCCAGGTGGCTGAGACCTGTATTCAAACAGAGCAGACATCTGAATGTAAATGCTTGTTATTCGTATACGTTTCATTTTTATGGGAACACTTGTCGGTGAATGGTAAATGAGAAAAGCAGTACAACTCTGAAGCCTGTAAATCGAATGCATTGCTGGATGCAGAGAGTGATTAGCTTAGCTTATTTTAGCATACAGACTAGAAAGAGGAAAACAGAAAAGCCTGACTGAGTCCAAAGATTGTTACGCCTACAGGCACCTTTAAAGCTCCCTAGTTAATCTGTGTTCAAGTCAAATCCAGTACTTATATATAGTGTACATTACTTTCCTGGCAAACTCACCATGACTACAGGACTGTGGGCGGTCGTTATGCCCTCCTGTCTTTCAGGCAAGAACTAGTATTCTGGAATGCCCTCCCTATTGATTTTAAGCTAAGCTAATCAGCTGGATTTGTCTGTGTATTTACTGAACATATGTAGCCTATTGTATAGACACAGTAGCAATATTTTTATTTCACTATAAGCACGAAAAGATTTGAAATCAGCATAAATTTAGCTCATAAATATATTTTTTTTTATTTTTTTTGCAGGGAGTTCATCAGATATTTCCAAGGCAATGACCTCTGACCCCCCAGCAGTGACTACCACTGAAGCAGTGACCTCTAAACCCACTGCTGCACCTACACTGTCAGCCACAGCAGAAACCAGCAGCAGTGGCCGAACCCAAAGCCTTCCTGAAACCAGCACCATCCCAACACTGGACCTCCGAAACCCGCTTCCTCCTCCCCTAACACCTCCCCCACCTCCTCCTCCTGCGCCAGACATCCCTGACCTTCCACTGCCATCACCCCCGGTCTTCCCCCTTCCTCTGCCTTCATCCAAACCTTCTTCATCATCCAGTCCTCCTTCTCCTCCATCGCCGCCTCCCGCTGACAGCCCCCAGCGTCCTACCACGCTCAAACTAAAGACGCTTCCACGTCCCAGCGTCAGGGAGAACGGCTGCCCCCCGCCTGGGCTGGATGAGGATGAGGATGAGAGGAAAATGCTGGAGGACGATCTGAAGAAATGCATCGAGGACTTTAAAAAGATCCGCATGCCCAAAGTTTTTCCAGATCGCAAGAGGCACTGGCAAAGGGACTTGCTAAAGAAGTACAATGCATAGAGAGCTTTGCTGTGGCATCATAAGGAGCAAACCTGACAAGGACTTTAAAACAATGGCGAGGACATGCTGCTAGCGCCATACTCGGGCTTTATATTTACATCGCTTTGATTCTGACTTTGTGAAGAGTGTCAGCAAAAAACCTCTAATGTAGCTTTTGCATGTCAACAGAAGTGAACTGCTAAAGTATAGTTCTCCAGCTGAGCTTGTCTAGCAGACATGCACTACATTTGATGTGTTTACCCAGCATAGAAAACATTCACGTCCAGATTGTGAGTCATACTTATGTTTTTCCCACACAAGGTTTTTTTTTTCTTTTGGAATAGAAAAAATATTTGGACTCATTTTCTTTTCACTCAGTCAAACAATATTAATTGGAGCTTTCTGCCCTTCTCCCTGTACCATGTCTGCTGATCAAGCAACTGGAAAATGTAAGCAAAGTTTGAAATTTTAGGCGTTTGACCTTAATGATGCAAAAATAAAAGACAGAAGTGAAATCTCTGGTGCTAATCATCTAAAACGCCTCACCTCATCAATATTAACTGTCTGACTTCAAAGCCCTTCTACAGTACTCCTTTCTGCCTCTGATTCAGAAGCGTTGCAATTTCGTTCTTTTTGTGATTACATTATCTTCCAGCCCGCACTTTTGGAACGAGGGGGGGATCAGAAAGAGAAAGCGGTGTACCAGGAAGGAAAGTGGGTAATTACAGGCAGCCAGAATGTGGAATAATAATGACAATAATGACTACATGAAGCAATGCACAGTACCATTTGTTCCTCTATCTGCTCCACATAAAATGCTCATCCAGCTGCACTAATGAATTACCAGGTGTGTGTGTGAGTGTAGTCCCATTATGGGCTAAATGATTTCCATAAAAATAAGGGGAAAGAATTTATTTTACATTTACTTTGTGAATTAATTCTGAACATCGTAGTATTCAACCATTTAACAAGCAGTAATATCATTCTGGAAAATGTGCGTACTTGCTTTCACTCTGACATGAGAAGGAGACTCCCGCAGCTTGGTGGTTAGCTTAGCTTAGCCTAGCAATTGGGAAACGACTTGCTTTGAAAACCAGCCTGCCACCACCTCTGCAGCTCTTTTGTAACATGCTGCATTTAACATTTATACAAAAAACAATTTAAATCTTAAACTTGGCTTTAAAGTGTACATTTGAACTCTAAAGAGTGCCTGCTTCTACTTTGTATGCCATAGTATGCTACTTTGTCAGTTTCTAGCTCCTGATTATTCACAGGCACTAAAAAAACGCAAGTACACACTGTGCAATTCTAGGGTTTAATGTATGAGGATATGATCAAATATAATCTGGTCCTTGGGAGGTCTTAAAGTGATGTACATGCAGCTCAGATGAACAATAAAACATATCACAGTGCGTCATTATGTATTTAATAAAAATTAGGCCAAACTACAGAAGCAGTGTGTAAAAGAATAAGTACACCCTTAAAGCACCAGTATACCCTCGAATTGGTGGCTTTTGAACGGCACTGCATTATCTAGCTATAGATAGCTACTTCTATTTATGCATTAAGGCGCAGGAATCATAGGTGCTGATATTGGAGGACATGAAGTCAAAAAATATGTGTACATTTCTCAGCTTCTGTACTGGAATATCATTAAGATGGTGGCAAAAACTGGCACGATGGTACACCCGTGTCTTCAATTCAGCTGTGGCAGCGGCGGGGTTACGAAAAAGTGAACAGTTGGCCAAAGCGTTACAAATACATTGGTATGCGCCACAGGATGTGGCGTCAAACTAGGCGTGCGTCACACATTACAGGGGGGGAGCACAGAGAGCATGAAAACACCATTAGTGCTTCTACTGGAGTGTGAGTAGATCAGACTGTGCAACACTCAGAGAAACTGCAATAAAACATTTCACACTCTGAAATCCATCGCTTCTGCTGATCTAAAGTTGTGTGACAGTGGCAGCAGGATAAGTAGGGTATTCCTGATCACCTTCTCCCCAGTCAACTACCCGAGGAACTGTTCCCAGTTGGGCATACTTTGAAAACCTCCAAAAGCGAAACACCCAGGAGGAATCCAAACCTGTTTCCTGACCCCCAACGGAATAAATCTGATGTTAAATTAAATTAAGAACATTAAATACACCGACCCTTAAAACTGCTGGTGTGAAAGAGGCTTTCTGGAACTCATAATTATATGATGTCTGAGTTTCAAATTGTCGACACTTACACTATTTGTTACCGAAATACACACTAATAAGTTAATAAGTAATGTGTCTCGTGCCCAGCACAGTTTTACAGCTGTGGGGTGTTGAGCCACATAAAAAACCAAAAAACAAACCCTCCTTCTTCTTCTTAAAAGTTACTCACCATAATGACTCTTGCCTAATTACTTTTCTCCAACTGCAACTTAACACACAAAATGCTTTTGAATTTTTAAAACCTTTTTGATAAACTTTCCTCCATGTCTACGCCAGCATCCTGTTTCCAGTGATGCAAGAGAACATCAGACCTCTGTTTTGTTTTGCTTTGACAAAAACACCCATGTTTCATTTGCTTTCATATTAAGCTTCTACCGAGCAATAAATATTACACAGAGCCTCGAGTATATATATATGTACACACAGTAGAGTTCTGACTTAATGAATGCAGCTTTGAGGATGTTTTTATGAGTAATTCTTTCCTTTTTGATCATTTTATTTCTCTGCCTGCCTCATTTGACCTGATGTAACCTGTTGCTTTTCCATTAGGCCCATAATGAGACCCGGTGGCTGTCTCTGGTTAGAAGTCCTAATGATGTTGCCTTATCCTAGCACTTTCCATCAGCACTTTGCCTCCAGCCTGATGCATTTTAGCTTGGGTTAATATTGCGGTTAAGGCTTTAATCCTTGAGTGTTGGTTGAGAGTGAAGTTAAACATGGTTAAGCAAACAGAATAGTTTTATCAGGCACTGGTACCTGCTAAGCAGCACTAGAGATATCCTCTGGCTCTTAGCAGAGGATTAGCAACAGATTAAGGTTTTCACAGTCCAAAAGAGTCGCCAAAGAGATAGCTCCTTTTAACAGCTACATGATGACAACAATTTATGCCATCCAGTCAGTCCTACCATATTTCACACCGGCATCAACACTCAGGACAGCTCCGACTGGCTGCTGATTGCTGAGAAATCCATAGTAAAGATTCCGCATTGAAGCTCATTAGAGAGTATTGCCTCATCAGCTCCTTTTCTCCACTTTTCTAATCTTTCAACATAGGCTTGGATGGCGACAGTGTGTTGGCCAGTCTCCCGGGCTCAGTGGAGTGTCACCATGAGCTTCGTGAGTCAGATCACATGCAGAGGACTGAAAAGATGAGCCTCTCTAATTTAAAATTCCATATTTACTGTCGCAGAAGTTGCACAGGCTGCTGTGTTTGAGTCATGTTAGACAAAATAGGCATCTTGCATCCAAAAACAAAGCTCTTGATTTGGATTTGGGTCTCTCCATAAGAAACTGATCACTTCCCAATTCTCTTTCACCCTTTGTCTTTTTCTTTTTTTTGGTATAACCTCCTGAAGCTGGCCCCTTGATTTATTACAGATGCACCAAGAGGATTTGATCTCTGAAGTCGAGAGGCTTAGCCCTCCAACAAAGGGAATACTTATCCTTTGAAATAAAGAGGTAAAGCAGTCTAGTGGGACCGGGACTGACAGAAAACATTCTTAGACAGAATATTTAACCATGTGAGATCAATCTCAGCAATTGTAGCTATACGGTGATGATTAGCGGACCGGGAAATACCATCAAGTCTTTCTTTAAAGTCACTTCCTAAAGTTTTTACTGGATTGCAACTAGTGCGCACTGGATTCAGGATTTCTCTGGATTTCTCTAAGTGATATGCCATAATGAGTAATCAGAAAAAATGAGAGATCCATGAGGCGTTCTCAAAGGATCCAGTCATCTGTTTTCAGGTAATGTCCTGTAGACCACAGCAGCCTCGAGCAACAACAGTGAGTGTCAGAGTGGGGAAAGCTGCCACTAACTTATCTGTTTCTCCCCTTTTTTTGCTGACACGCGGGGCGCCTTGCATTTGCATAAAAAGAGCACCTTGCAGATTTATTTCAAATGGCCAGCAATACATTAGCATCTCATTTCTTCTGGGCATGAGTTATCTTCAGTACAGTCAGCTCTCCTGACAATTAAAGCACAGCTGAAAGTGATCCTCGTGAAATACAATGTTGCAGTGAGAGCGGAGATACTTCAGCATCTCAGCAGTCAAGAAGAGCTTCACATTTTAAGATAGAAATATTTTGTGCAAGTAGTATGTGCTAATAAAATTAGGCTTTAGAGGAGATAAGAGAAGTGAGGCCTAATTATTATGCCTAAAACGGAAGCTGGCAGTCAAGCTGTCTAACACACTTGAAGGATAATTTCTGAAACATTCTGCAGTTTTTTTTCTTTATCGGGGTTTTGGAGTGACCCGAATCAGACTGCTTTGATGCAGTTATTCTAAGAGGCAATCGCTACTTTGGCATGAGTTGAAATCATTGAGTGCAAAGATCCTGAATGATTAAAAAAAAAGTCTTATCATTATACGATACTCCGAGTGCAAAACTTGATGTACTGCAGCTTAGTAAGGCACTTAATCAGGGTTGAATCAGAGTAGCTGACTCACGCCCTTGAATAACAGATCGGACTTTTTAGTCCGTCTGTTGATGCATGTGTGCTTGGGCAAGTTTGGGTGGGGGGGTTAATTTTATGGTTGCAAGTGGCTATAGCAGCTTTTACTTTACACCAAGGAAAGCTGCAAAGATAACATTAATCACACGAATGTGCCCTACAAGACCAGATAAATATAAACAATGACCTCAATTTTCTTCCCTTTATTTTGTGGCATTAAGTGATTATGCAACGTCCAGACCTGATTATACAGGTTCAGGTTATTTTGGAAGTCTGATTACTGTGAATCATGCATTGTAAAGTGTTTCAACCAGACTATTACCTTAATCTTGTTATTTACAGTCCACAAGTTAGCATGTGAGTGCAAACGTGAATGTGTGTGTTTGTGTGGACAAAAATGGAAGTGCAGTCCTGTCCATATAGTAATTGTTAACCAGCTCGGCTGGGAAAACATGTGCTTGCACATAAGTGTCCTTTAAACAAATATATGTTCTTTAATGGAAAGAAGCTGGCCATCCCTGGAGGTGTTCTACACAATCAGCAGGAGACACATGGAGAGAGGCAGTGGAGAGGAGAAGAGGGCCAGAGAGAATGTGTCAGACGCTGTTCACAGATTTTCCATTTCCATCATTAAAACCTGGAGCCTAATCCTGCAGCTACTTTAATCTCTTAATTCTGTACCCTTTTTTTCTCCTCTGCATACAGTGCACTCCTATTCCATTCTCTGTCTCCTCCTCGCTGATATAAAATATTTTCATAGATTCAGTGAGAAAGCTTTTCCCTCCTCCACCACACACACACATACATACAGAGAAATACTTGTAGTCTTTAAGTAGGGTCACTTTGCTTGCTTTCAAATCCTTTGCGTGAACATGCC